CGAGCGTGTGTTGCTTCCCGACCGTCCCCCCGCGCTCACTTGTCCCTCGATAGAATCCTTGGTGAATCATACACCTTTGATATCGTTCGCCTTATGCGCTTTTGTTCTAGTATTGGCGTCCTTAGTGATATTTAGCGCCTGATGAATATTACGCATATTTGATGGTGCTACATATCCTTCCTGGCTTGACGCCTTTTTTTATAATTACTTACTCTCTCCCTCCCTATTCTCCCTTTCCTTTCCCTTTTCCTTTCTCTGTGCCTCTCCTTCACTCTTGCATAAATCTGGTACTTTCTTTCTCTTAGGCATCCTTTCTTCCTACCCACCACATCCTCCATCATTAGAGGTTTTTTTCCCCTCACTTTCCCACCACACTTTATCCATTCCCTCAAACCTCATTCCTCCTCCCACACCTCATTATTTCCCCCTCATTCCTGCCCTATACCTTATTCCTCCCTTCATACATTATTCTTCCTCCCCACACCTAATTCATCCTTCATCACCTTATTCACCTCCACCACCATCTACACCCACACCTCATCCACCCCCACACATCCACCGCCAAACACATATCCACCCTCACACATCATCTACCCCCACACATCCACCACCTCCACACATCATCCACCCCCACACATCCACACCCACACACATCCACCCTCACACATCATCTACCCCCACACATCCACCACCTCCACACCTCATCCACCCCCACACATCCACCGCCACACACATCCACCCTCACACGTCATCCACCCCCACACATCATCCACACCCACACATCATCCACCCCCACACATCCACACCCACACATCCACCCACCCTCACACATCATCCACCCCCACACATCCACCCCCCCACACATCATCCACCCCCACACATCATCCACACCCACACATCATCCACCCCCACACATCCACCCACCCTCACACATCATCCACCCCCACACATCCACCCCCCCACACATCCACCCACCCTCACACATCATCCACCACCACACATCCACCCCCCCCCACACATCATCCACCCCCACACATCCACCACCTCCACACATCATCCACCCCCACACATCCACCACCCCCACACATCATCCACACCCCCACACATCCACACCCCCACACATCCACCACCCCCACACATCATCCACCCCCACACATCCACACCCCCACACATCCACCACCACCAATCTGCTTGTAATAACTGGTCGGTGATATAACGGAGATGGAAGAAAAGTTTGGGCTCCAGCGCGGAAATTTACATCATTTAAGAAGTTTTGCTCGGGGATGGGAGGGGGGTATGGGGGGTGAGGGGGGGAGGGGGGTATGGGGGGTGAGGGGGGGAGGGGCGACGTTGATGGGCAGGTGAGCCTGGGAGGGAGGTACATAACTCTCTTCTTTCGAGACTGAATAAAGAGATTTCTTGGTACCAGCGCTGAACTTGTTTCAAATGTTCAATATATTTCCTCAAACTGGTTGACTGAGAACCAGTCGACCAGAATGAGAATGATGACTGAGAACAAATCGACCAGAGTCGTGAAGAAGGGACACGTCAACCAGAGTGCTGACCGAGAACACGTCAATAATACACCGATAATAACAAGTTTGATGGAGCTGATTTTTATATCTTTGGCCAAAAAACTTGAAATTTTTTAAAATTTAAGACAGACGTAGATAAACCCTACACATTTAACTTACTTTTTGAAGGAAATAATTATTACTTAGTGAGCACACTTAGTTCCGTCTACACAACCATAAATAAGTGACTTTTCAACTTGTGACAATATATTTTTGTATTTCAGTCATTTAACTAAAACGTTAATTTATCTTATATAATGCTTGTTTACAGTTAATGGTGTTAAGTAAATAAGGGGTTGCAATTTGTCACAAGTTACACTTTATTCACAAATTAAACTCTTTCTGTTCTTCACCAAATAACGTCTCCAAATGCAGAATTAATAATGTTACTTAACAGCCTAGCACATACATATTGACATACAATAATACTTCTCACTTTGGCAGTCTTGTACATGAAAGTTATTATAATAAAAATAATAAATAGAATGTGTGTACAAAGAACATAAGAGTAATGTACAAGTGTAGGGAGGCAGGAGTTGCACATACTGATGAAGCCACTATTACGCAAAGCATTTCGAGTAATTATATAGAAGCGTCAACAAAAATCCTATCGATAAGCCATCACATCTAAGTATTCATCACTATTTTCCAACACTTACGAGGTAAAGGGAACTATCAAGGGACAGCGCCGAGCCATTACGACTATATATATAGCGCTACGAAGGGGCCAGGATAAGGATTTAGGATGGGACGGGGGGAAGGAATGGTGCTCAACCACTTGTGGACGGTCGGAGATTGAACGCCGACCTGCATGAAGCGAGAATGTCGCTCTACCGTCCAGCCCAAGTATAACAGATTAAATACACACAGAGCAACTCTTGTTAAGACAAATGTTAGCATTGTGGTATTTTCCCTTTACGAGTGTTGATTAACACAAACGGCGAGGCTTGCCTTCAGTACCACCTCTTGTACAAGTATTCTCACGGCTGTATGATGCCTGGATGATATCACAGCTAATCCATCCACTGTCTATCTTGAGGTTATCTTGAGATGATTTCGGGGCTTAGCGTCCCCGCAGCCCGGTCCTCGACCAGGCCTTCTTTTTTGTTACACATCCCCCAGGAAGCAGCCCGTAGCAGCTTTCTAACTCCCAGGTACCAATTTACTGCTAGGTGAACAGGTGCATCAGGGTGAAAGAAACTCTGCCTATTTATTTCCGCCTCTTCCCAATCACTTGGGCTGGACGGTAGAGCGACGGTCTCACTTCATGCAGGTCGGCGTTCAATCCCCGACCGTCCAAGTGGTTGGAGATCCATCCCAAATCCTTATCCTGACCCCCTTGCAAGTGCTATATAGTCTTAATGGCTTGGCACTTCCCCCTGATAGTTCCATTCCATATTTCCGCCTCTGCCGGGGATAGAACCCGGAAACTTTCGACTACAAACACCGAGCGCTGTTCACTCAGCCGTCAGGCCCCTAGACCGTTGGGTCTAAGGGGCGTGACGGCTAAGGGTCTGACATAGACCCCTTGCAACAGAACAATAACTTCCTGTTGTATGGGAAAACACTGCTGACTTTCCCTGTCAGTCGTCCAACATATATTCAGGGCTGCCTGGCGTAGGACCTGCTGCTGCTGCTGCTTCACTTAGTGGTCGCTGCTACTGTAAACTCCAGACAGTCCTATGCATTAGGCTTCAATGTAACGAAGACTCTTAGTGACAGCAGAGCACAACGGTAGAACATCCTTAGTGACATCAGCACAATAAGTGACGCTGCCATCCAATCCAGGACCGTCTCGGCGACTCATGACGCCATAGCTCTTCTCCCATTGGCTGTTTTAGGTCACGTGACCTGTAAAACCTGGTCTTCTGCTAAGGCATCAGAACATGTCAGGCGTCATGTTGTTTAACTAATTACATTAAAATATAGATATAATCTGATAACCTTATAACACAAATATATTCATCATAACCTAATTAAAATATTCTTTGATAATTATGCATGTTGGTTGTGGGGTGTGTGAGGGAGGTGAGCGGTGTGCTGGTGTTCGTCAGTATCTTAACCTCACACCGTGTTCTATCTCCACCCACCGCTCCTGTGCCAGGTAAGTTACGGGCTCACCATACCCCGTGCTACTTGGAACTTGTTCCGAGTAGCTGAATCTATAACAACAACACAAGCTCTAACTTCACGTGTCCCACCTCTCGTCTTCCTCTCCTACACTAACACTTGTTTTTGTTGTCATGATCACATTAACGGTTATATTTGTTCTTAAAAGTATTCAGATATGTACAGGTCAACGCTACTGTCTAGCCACTTAGAGCTGGCGCTCGATACCCGATGGTTCACGTTGGTTGAGGACCGTCGGGTCACTCCGTCCTCACGTCCCAGCTCCGGGGCTAGATTCACGAAGAAGTTACGCAAACACTTACGAACCTGTACATCTTTTTTCAATCTTTAGCTACTTTGTTTACAATTATTAAACAGTTAATGAGCTCCGAAGCACCAGGAGGCTGTTTATAACAATAACAACAGTTGATTGGGAAGTTTTCATGCTTGTAAACTGTTTAATTAATGTAACCAAAGCCGTCAAAGATTGAGGAAAGATGTACACGTTCGTAAGTACTTGCGTAACTGCTTCGTGAATCTGGCCCCAGGTTCTCCTATCCCTTCAAAGTGTTGCAGCCATACTGGCTTAGCGCTTTCTCCCCATAATTACCTTGCCTCGGGACTGAACTTGTGACAATATATTTTTGTATTTCAGTCATTTAACTAAAACGTTAATTTATCTTATATAATGCTTGTTTACAGTTAATGGTGTTAAACAGTTAAACACATTACAAATAGTTCGTGACATACTCCCATTATTTGTTTCTTTCATCGTCTGTTGTCAGTACCCCTTGGTCAGGACGGTAGAGGGACGGTCTCGCTACATGCAGGTCGGCGTTCAATCCCCGACCGTCCAACTGGTTGGGGGAAGGAATCACCATTCCTCCCCCTCCCCCTCCCCCCCTCCGTTCAATGCCATAATCCTTATCCTCATATCCATTCCAAGTGCTATATAGTCATGATGGCTTAGCGCTTTATCCTCATTAATTGCCTTACATCGTTTCAGTGCACTTGCATAATTTTAGATTTAATTCTCTATTAATAAACTGTTTTGCAGAGTTTCATCCTCCACTCCTGATCGGTTTCAGTTTTAACATTTTACTCGTGCTCCGTCGTTCTGCAGTAGAGGTGTGACGCTGACTAGGACTAGTACACTACACAAGACTGTAGTTATCCTTAAGTCTCTAGATAAGACCTTAATGTATAAGTTATGATACTTAAGAGTGTGTTACGATGACACATGTGTGTGTGTTCTCTCACATGACACGTGACCTGTGTGGTGGTGAGTGTTACTAATGGGTGTTGTGATGCCAACAGCTGTGCACGAGAAGCTGTTCACGCTGTTCATGCTGGTGTCGCTGGTGTACATGCTGTGCGTGATCCGGGTGGTGCGGGCCGTGCGCCACACCCTCTCGCCCAGGCTGCTCCGGTCCTTCGCCCAGAAGAAGTGGCTCTTCGCCATCAAGCTGGCCTCCACCGGCGGCCTCCTCTTCTTCTTCTGGCGCCACCGTGTCTACTGCCAGCCCATGGGTTAGTTCCCTCCCTCTCAGTACTCCCTCTCCAGTCCTCCCCCCTTCTCTACTACCCTCCCCTAATCATACTCTCTATTACCCTAGCAGTAAAATAGGTACCTGGGTGTTAGTCAGCTGCCACGGGCTGCTTCCTGGGGGTGGAGGCCTGGTCGAGGACCGGGCCGCGGGGACACTAAAGCCCCGAAATCATCTCAAGATCTCAAGATAACCCTCCCCCAATCTTCCTCCACTTTACTACCCTCCCCAATCCTCCCCTTCTCTACTTCCCTCCCCCAATCCTCCTCCTCTCTACTACCTTCCCCCAATCTTCATCTTCTCTACTACCTTCCCCCAATCCTCTTCTCTTCTGTCCTCCCCAATCCTCCTCCACTCTTCTGTCCTCCCCCAATCCTCCTCCACTCTCTGTCCTCCCCCAATCCTCCTCCACTCTTCTACCCTCCCCAATCCTCCTCTTCTCTATTACCCTCCTCAATCCTCCTCCTCTTTACTACCTTCCCCCAATCCTCCTCCTCCACTCTACTACTTTCCCCAATCCATTCTACTACCTTCCCAATCCTCCTCCTCTACTTCCTTCCCCCAATCCTCCTCCTCTCTACTACTCTCCCCAATCCTCTCTACTACAAACAGTTCCGTTCCTGCCCCCCCCCCTCTCCCTTCCCGACACACCCTATTCCGCTACCACCCATAATCCCCTTCCCATCCATTCTACCTAAACCCCCCCCCCTCAGGTGGATTTAAATTTAAGCTTTATTTCAATATTAATAACTTTATTAATTTTAATGTTGACAAATGTGAATATATAGATTTTAGCCTTAACACAGAAGCTGCGAATGAGTTCAGGGATCAGAATGTTAACATTACAAGATTACACTGATCCCAGTCAGCAGTGTACAGTGTTCCAGTGACTTGACTACACTGTACAGGCCAGAGGTGGGTTTTGGGTAACGGTTCGCGGTTTTGGCCTTCTATCTAAATCATATAATTTTGATCCTCCATTTCTGACACCTTTACGTAGTTATTATAAACTGTTTATATTATTAAGCACAAGATGGGTGCCCGGGTCTGGCTTTCACCCCTCTCCGTCCTCCATCCCAATCTTCCCTCAGTCACATTTTTCTCCTGTCATCCCCCTCTCCTCTCCCCACGCCCAACCACTTCGGTGGACGGTAGAGCGACGGTTTCAACTCATGCAGGTCGGCGTTCAATCCCCGACTTTCCAATTGCTTGGGCACCATTCTTTCCTCCTGTCCCATCCCAAATTTTTATCCAGACCCCCCTTCCCAGGGCTATATAGTCGTATGGCTTGGCGCTTTCCCCTTCCCTCCTCCCTCCCTCTTCTATATATATATATATATATATATATATATATATATATATATATATATATATATATATATATATATATATATATATATATATTTGAGTTCTATGTATAGTTAATGTATTAAAAATAAGTTTATGTACAAATTATGTTAAAATTGATGAGCGTCTTAAGGTATCGGCCTGAGGACCAGTTGACGAATTACAGCCTCACTAATGTTTCCCCCACGCACCATCTTCACCACACACGACCCTCACCATTGTAATCATCTACACTACACCACCATAATCACTAACGTAACTCACTATACGCTGTATTAACCACTAACCATCTTTACTACACACAGCCATCGTAACTAACAGTGACCGTCTTCACACTATCTCCATCACTGTATCCTAAACGTTGTACCTAGAATGCAACTCTGTCATCTGAACTATGTTTTGCATGTCAGTATATGAATACAAAAATATTTAAACAATCACCAAGCTCTATGGAATCGGCACAGAACATTTCATATCCACCTATGACGGTTCCCCTAGAATCACCAGTCACCACGCAAAGTTGTGTGAAGCTGGCCCCAATCGTCTTGGCTTGCAACCTTGACAGACAGACACTTCCTGTGCTATTAATAAACTATGCTATGAGATCTTGTATAGTATTGATATACTGAATATACTATTGATATTCAGGCAAAACTGCCGAATAATCCGAATTTCCTGAATGAATTTGTTCAAACTTTATTATTACATTTAATTTAATCGGTTTTGGCGTGATATTTTGAACCATAAATATTTTGGCAGTCTCTCCCTCTCTCTCTCTCTCCTACAGTGTTACTAAATTTACATCTGTAGCGGAGAATGTCTGTCTGTCTGTCCACGATAAGATGCCAGATGCTTGCGACAAGCGTGACTTAGCATTGGTTTGTTGGGGGGGGGGGTAACCAAAACTCAAGAGGGAACAGCGTGCCAGGGTCACAATCTTACCCCCACCCCCCCACACTCAGCCCCCCACACCCACACACACCCACCCCACCCCCCTCACCCCCCGCACCCCCACGATAGAGTTTGGTATTGCTGCTGACTACACCTGGCAAAGTATTTTGAAAATAACATTTCAAAACTAAATTTTTCCATTGTAGACATTTTCACCATTATTCAATGATCTGTAAAAAAATACCCGTTATTCAAATTTAGGTCATAGTACCATGAACACACAACTTCAACTCGGCCCACTGCTCTCTTCCAGGACAACCCTAAGACCAACCCACAGATACGAAAGGAACTATTCTATTGTATGTATATGTAAATAAATATAAAGACTAACTTGCTCTTATTGTATAAATAGAGAGGGTGGGGTGTGGGGGGGGAGGGTACCGAAGATCACCGAGGCTGCTGGAGAGACATATTACTGCAACCATCTACGCAGCACACAACCATCCTCGAAACCATCTTCATAACTATCTTAACTACACGAAGATGTGGAGTCTTAGGGTGTGAAGACCTTCACGCTGCGGTAACGGCGTGTTGGTTCGCCATTACGAGTAACGCGTACTGATAAACTTTCCTCTCGTGGCAAAACTAATACAAATGCTGGTAATATAAGCAAGCATGTTATTGGCTCTCCTCCACAGCTTACACGCTGAAACTTTAATGTTGTCTGATGTTAGTGGGTCTTAAATAATAGACAGCCAAGCTTTATTTAACTTTATTATTCATTTAAATAAAAAAAAAACAGCTGGAGGGAGACGTCATCTTGGGACTATTCCGGCTCAGCTCAACCATCTCCCCTGCAAAGAAAACAAGAACACATTATCAACACCCTAAGTAGTTAGTTTAAGGTTACGAGTTTCCCAGGTTTCTTCTGTATAAAATGACAAGAATAAAGGGCAATTTCTCCAGAAATAACATTGAATAGGGAAGTGTAATCCTGCAAAGACAAGATCTGCCTTAAGACTACAAAAACAAAATAAGTTATCTAACAATACGTATGGTAGCTTACCGATCGATACTTGCTGTACTTCAACTTAAATATACCACTAGGATCTAGAAAGGCAGAGGACATAGGCTTTATAATTAAAGCCTATGCTTTCTTTGTTCTAACATTTTCATTTCTAACATTATATTAATCCTTCTTGCCCGCATAATGGGACTAAGAATGGTCCCTAACAGTGAACTACGTACACTCATATGTGCACCTTATTCATATGTACCAAGTCGTCGCTGAAGAGACGTTGGATGATCAACTAATGGTTGAAATGCGCAGACCAATTGGTTCTTTAAATGCTCTTCTTGAATGCGGCAGACATAGACGATACCTGGGAGAAGAATGCAAATACTTTTTCTTGCACAATAAATAGCTACACTTCCCACTATTGAATTGATGAATTGATTGTATAGCGTAGAGGAGGAAGGCGGAGGAGTGTCCTCCCAGACGTACGTACGAGTGTGTGTGTGGGGGGGGGGGGGCCGCCCGCCCTCCCATGTAAATATGATGGACGTTACGGCAAGATGGGTAACTGGTCTAACTAGGCAACAGAGTCTTATGGTAACAAGTATTGGTTATCCTCCTTAACTTGAATGCCGGTAACATTAGTCCCTCTGGCCTACACAAATACTTACATGAAATTACAATAATATTTACGGACTAAATTAACGAAAAATTATTATTTTCTGTTTTGCATATTTGTTGCAAACGATATTTTGAATAGGTGTTGATATTTAAGGTTGTGTGAATTGGTAACAGTGTTGTTGTCATTGCAGCGTTCAGCTGGTTCTCGCTGTGTGAGTACATCATCGCCACCTGCAACATGCTCTACCACGTCAGTGTCGCCCTCGACTTCTCTGATGAGCACCTCATCGTTGGTCATGTCATCACCGCCACCTCGCCCTCGGCCTCCGTCTCCTCCTTCCCCACCACCGCCTCCTCCTCGCGTCACCACTCCGCCTCCACGCCCACCACCAACACCTGTGACACTCTAGCCACTTGTGAGGGCGGCGTCGACACCCCGCCCACCAGGAATGGTCGCCTCGATGAACTGGTGTTGGGCGGCAGTGCGGCGGTGGGCGGCTCCCAGGCCCTGGCTGCCGTCCTTGGCAAAGTGGTGCCCATAGGCAAGTGTGATGGGGGAATGGGAGGAGGAGGAGGCACGGGCGGGGGCGATAGTGGGGGTGTGGGCGCGGAGAGCGAGGCCACGCCCACCGTGGTTCACCAGGTCCTCAACACCATCCACGAGGGCGCCGAGCCCACGCCTGCGCACACCTGCCTCAACGGTCCTGCCGACCCAGAGTCCGCTCTGGTTCAGCGGAGAACCGGTTCTTCACTCAGTTCTAGCCCCCTGCCCATCGATGCCCATCTTTCCACCCACTCCCACATGGATTAGTGAAAGTGAGCAAAGGACTCCGCCCATAACTAGTGGGTGGTAGGAGTGGGCCACACCCACATTACTGTTATCACCGCCCACACCCCGTGGAACTAATCCCACAAGGGTGTTACTTTGTTACATTCTGTGAAAATGGCTCTGGAATGGCATGTGTAAGAGGGCAGTGTGTATAATGGAGTTGTAACAGGTGGTCCACAACCTGGGCAGCCTCACCTGGCCACCAACCACTCCTGGTGACCAACAAAGCCCTCGTAGCATGCAGAAACAATTTGTTATCACAAGTTATGTAGTGAATAAACTGCTGATTTGTAGTTAAAATATGTCGCAAGTAACAAAAATGTTCCTCAAGACTTTGAGTGATTTCCATAGCCTGGTGCTATTGGGCTGAGATCTTGTGTCTTACTTGGTTGGTTCAAGGAGACAACCTTGGAAAATCCAACAGAACCTGGCACAACACATACGCCTTGTATATGGGACTGACTGTAGAGCCTTACGTCTCTTATTTGATGTAGTGCATTTAGTAATGGTATATTTCTGCACTCGTCAGTATAAAAATTACAAATGAACTTATAATTATAGTTGACAATGAAAAAATAATTAAAGAGCAGCTTCGACCAAATTGCCTTAAACTATCGGACCATAATTGATAAAGTAAAAGTTTAGCAAGACATGCCTACTCCAGACTGGGGCTCTGGTGGCTACGAGGCTACCACAGCCGCGTTCTCCATCTCTGCGCCCCATACTCTAGTCAGCCGCATTCTCTATCTCTGTGCCTCATTCTAGTCAGCCGTGTTCTCCATTTCTACGCCCCATACTCTAGTCAGCCGCGTTCTCTATCTCTGTGCCTCATACTCTAATCAGCTGTACGCCTCAAAACATGTTCTTTCCGGCAGTTATCTTTCTTTACACCTCATGCTGTCCTTGCATTAGTTTGAACTTTTTTTTATTTTGCTCTGTCTCAAATTTCTTATAACATAGGCCTATTCATTAATGTTTACATATCGAGACATGGGACAATTAACATTCACTCATGACGTTTTTAAAACAAGAATTGTTAAAGTTACTACGACAGTATTAGGCAATATTATATATATATATATATATATATATATATATATATATATATATATATATATATATATTGAGAGCAGGTTTTCTGTAATACACGTCATTAAACACAGCAGCATTGTGACTATTGTTAATTTTCTTATGGATATGGATATTATAAAATATCCCAAAAAAATAGTCACAATGCTATTGTGTTTAATGACATGTATATATATATATATATATATATATATATATATATATATATATATATATATATATATATATATATATATATATACATAGCCTCCGAGGCTATGGGTCCCCCTTCTTCCAGCTAGAGGTGGTACTCCATTTTATATATATATATATATATATATATATATATATATATATATATATATATATATATATATATATATATATAATTTATTTATTTATTTATTTATTATTTATTTATTTATTTATTTAAACTGTGCAAACCCGATTAACCAGCCAGACTAATGCTTTCTGCCCGATGTCCAGTAAAGCGAAAATGCAGTTGTAGGAAGAGGTAAGGAAGGCGCAGGATGGCTCCGTCCGCACGCTGTATCATGCTGCCTCAGCTTGCTATATCATGCTGTCTCAGCTTAAATATTTTTATTTGGTTGAGAAAATGCTGTCAAACTTGTATGGGTTCACTTGTTATATGATGCAAATTTGATCGGTTATTTAAAACTTTTAACAACGCAACGCTATGAATTTGCCAAATTATTTTATTGATGATAAAATAATGTGGGTGAGTTAATGATGTGTAAACAGAAGAGGAAGAGGAGAGAGATGGCTGGTCGATGCCACCTCTCATAACTGTGAAAGTAATTTATAACCGGTACCATAATCCCATAACATTTACATGTATGAATTGCGTGTTATTAAGCATTTTATTTTTCTCGTCTTTCACGTTATTCAGGATGAGATAGCGTTTATTTGGTGCAGAAACTGATGTAAACATTGTCAAGCTGTCTGCGAGAGTCGTCATATGCTTGTTGGAAATGTCAGCGATTGATGGAGCCGCATCCTTCTCAGATATTCCCCCTCGATCATTATATGATGTAAGTTTACTGTTATTCAGTGTTCGTGGCTTCACAGAACTGTGGATTTACGATCTTTCTTACATTATTCATGATGATGTGGCGTGGATAGGTAAATTTTATGTTTTAACAAAAAATATAGAAATTTGAAAGCATAATAAGTGTTGTTGGCAGAGGAAACAGCAGTGAATGGCAGGGAAGAGTAACGAATGGAGAATAGAATAGCGTGGCTAGGTTGATTATGAAATGGAAAAGTGGTCGTGAGGGGAAGGGGCAAAGAGGTAGCAAAGACTAGCGGAGGTGATGTCAGCAGTATTTGGCTGACATCCACACCCAGTGCTTGTGAGGCGGCCTACTATCCCCACCCTCCCCACTCCCGTGATAAAAATTTCCTGTCATATATCTACATTAAGCTAACTTGCATAGACATAATTATTAATTAATTGGTAGGGGAAGGAATATTTGTTTCTGCTTCACGTGTGTGCCGACAGCTGCTCAGAGAAGTTGGGTTCCTGGGGCAACACACACACAGCCTCTCCCAGTAAACCTGATTTTGTTGAATATTACATGTGTGGAATCTGAGTCATTTTCCTGTTAATCTTAGATTTTGTTATATGATGATCTGGTTAATCAGGGTTGCACCGTTTACTATTATATATATATATATATATATATATATATATATATATATATATATATATATATATATATATATATATATATATATATATATATATATATATATAATATATAATTGGGATTATCGTAACAAAGTTAAAGAAGTTGGTAACGATTAGCCCCGTCCTGGTTGTAATGTCATATCTTAAATTAACGTTTTAAAAGTTTGTGACCTATAAACTGATAGTGAAATACAGCTGAGATGAACCTGGCGAGTAGCTCTTTAACGGGTTTTTCATTATCAATTAAGAATTTGATATATATTAGCAACTTGTCTGAAATTTCGCGATTTAAAACATTACTGGTGGTTTGGAATACTTCAGCGTTATTGAACCTTAGGTAGTGTGCTCCATAATACTCATATTCCTTGATTCTGTAAGGCAAGCCAAGGGCTAAGCCACACTACCTCGGGTTGCGTCACTAATACGTCACCACTGCTAGGAGGGAGGTGTGACGTCACCTCCAGGCCCCGCCCATTGTTTTGCTGTTGTGCGGCCCGTAAATCTGATGCCTTATTGATTTAGGCCAGATGGTTTGAGCATCTTATAGCGAGGAGTAAACAGTGTGTGTGGCTCGTTCCTGCAAGTTATCAGGGCGAGGGAAGGTGAAGCACGCAGTGGAGCACAAAGCCAAGTGCGGGAACAATTTATATATTATTACTCCAACTGTTCTCATGTATTTTAAGTTACAGTCATGTCGTCCTGAATACGGTATTGTCTACTGAATACTAACGAACTTTCTTAATGAAATTGCCAAAGTTACAATACAAGTGGTGTTGGTGAGGTTACCAGGACGCCTCCACACTCGCCATCAGATGCTCCAACGTCCGGGTCTTCCGTGTAACTCTGGGACGCGCTGCTGAGGTCATCATGGATCACGTGTTGCCGTCACGTCACTCATGTTCCACTTGCTCCCACCCACTGGCTCACTGTATTGGAAAATGTCAGGATGTGAAGCACGATCAACCTGTGGCATTTGAAGTTTCCACGAGGACTTTGTCGTCTCACCATCGTACCTTTATTAAAGGAAAGAGTGGAGAAGCCTCGCGAGGTATGTTTCGTGTCCTGTTCATATGATACTGTTGATCTTTTCCTGCGTGGCTGAAGTCTTCTTGGCCATTTTAGTTTATTATTATTATTATTATTATTACGTGTAAGTAAATCATGTTTATGTTGGCGATCGTTCATCCCCCATTATATTGTTATCACCCTATTGTGTTCTTTTAACATATTGGTAACATCGACTGGTAACATAACTCTTGTCCTGGTCAGTGAGGTGTGTGGTATGTATGATCCTTAAAAAGTTAAGTTTCTGACCCGTCGCCCCACTCTGATGACGCATGTATTAAAACTGATCAATACATTTGAGGTACGAGAGAAAGTAACAGATAAGTAGACAACTTATTAAACATTGGGTAAACAGCAAGGAAAGTTGTTGCAGTAATTGTGGAGAGTTTTAGCGACCCCTTGCAAGCAATTGTTGAAGGAGGAGAGCAACAGGGAGGTGAGAGAGAGAACATGCCGGGGCTATACGTGGCTGGTGATGGTCAGTAGCCTCGTATACGTGGCTGGTGGTGGCCAGTAGCCTCGTATACGTGACTGGTGGTGGTCAGTAGCCTCGTATACGTGGCTGGTGATGGTCAGTAGCCTCGTATACATGGCTGGTGGTGGTCAGTAGCCTCGTATACGTGGCTGGTGATGGTCAGTAGCCTCGTATACATGGCTGGTGGTGGTCAGTAGCCTCGTATACGTGGCTGGTGATGGTCAGTAGCCTCGTATACGTGACTGGTGGTGGTCAGTAGCCTCGTATACGTGGCTGGTGATGGTCAGTAGCCTCGTATACGTGGCTGGTGATGGTCAGTAGCCTCGTATACATGGCTGGTGATGGTCAGTAGCCTCGTATACGTGGCTGGTGGTGGCCAGTAGCCTCGTATACGTGGCTGGTGGTGGTCAGTAGCCTCATATACATGGCTGGTGGTGGTCAGTAGCCTTATATACGTGACTGGTGGTGGTCAGTAGCCTCATATACGTGGCTGGTGGTGGTCAGTAGCCTCGTATACGTGACTGGTGGTGGTCAGTAGCCTCATATACGTGACTGGTGGTGGTCAGTAGCCTCGTATACGATTGTCGCACTTGCGGATGTTGAGTCTTGCTGATCAACCTCATCACACTCGTTCGTAATTGTTAATTTACTTAATTAGCATTTTTACGCCATATTGGTGGATATAATAATTTATTTGATTAACTATATGCTGAATTAAATTAGCACGCTGTGTTTATCTGAGGTAATGGTGACGATGATGCTCTCAGTGTGTAATATGTGAGTATGGAGGCTCCTTCTGTGACTATATAGTCATCAGTTATCACACACATTTGATAGGCATGCTGACAACACATTTTGGTACTTAAAGCATAATTATCGAAAAAAATTTATCCGTTTAATTTAAGCACCACATGTTGCACTCTGCGTGCAACATGAGCAATATATTGTGCATACTGAAGTGCGATGGCGGTTGACTAATAAAATTTGCAGTTCGAAAACTTATTTTTTTAAATCATAGAGAACAGAAAACAAATTTAAACTTAGGTATTATTGACTAGAGCTGTCGCAGGTCGTTCCCATCCGGCATGATGAGTTTACTATTTGATGGAAGAACAATACTTTGCCAGCCCTGGGTTGACAACCAGCTGCCCACGTATTATTTCTGGTTACTGTATTGGCGTGTGTTTGGGTTTAGGGGGGGGGTGTACTCGCCTTACTGTGCTTGCTCTGGTCAGTAGAACGTGCGGCATGTCTAATCAACATTACAAAGTTAAATTTCTGAGCCTCAGTTCTTGGGTCCCACCTCTCAACTTTCAATGGACCAGTATACAGGCCACAAAACATTTGGGCTCTCTCATGTTTACAGTTTAAGCCGTGTGTGGAGTTCTTTCGCCACTCACTAGTTTATTCCTTTTCTCTACTACTGAGACGCCTGTGCTCCTTTCTTCCTGTTCTGCCAATGTCATATAAGCAATCCTTGTTTACCCTGCATATTCCTTGAATATTTTATGACATTATTTCTCCTTTGTTTCTTCTCTCCTCGTGACACTTGGATGGATTAATTAAGTCTTTCCCCTTAGCTTGCACTTCTCAGCTCTGGGGCAAGACACATAAAATACCAGACTTGTTTAACTAAATATGGACTGTATGTTTGCGCCAGATATTCCTAAATTGAATTGACATTTGCGGTATACATGGTCTTGAACGGCTCCTTATTTAGATATCTAAAGACAGTCCTTATATGGACCAACCTTACACATACAGGTAATGATATCCGATTGATGTTGACCTGAGGAAATAGGCTCAGTTTACCTGGCCTCTTAACCCCAGCACCAGTTCCCAAAACTTTAAATTTGTTGTAGTTAAACTCCAGCAGCCACTTACTGCACTATTGCTACAGTTAATGTTGGTTTTCCTCTAGGTATTTGCCGTTAATCGCCAATCGTATTGGCGTTTGCCTTTCCATTGAAGACTTTCGGCGCCTTACCCAAGCGACCAGCTGTCTGGGTAACAGCTTCTCCCCCTTATCAACCTACCTTGGCTTTGCGCCCTGGTGGGGCCACTCCAGAGCGCAACTCCATAGTCTCCTGAGACTGATGGATACCTACTACTTGCCGTCTTCCTCTTGGCTTCTCTCACACAAGTGTCGTCGTCATCAGTAAACACTGATGAAAAGGAACGTGTTCCCCGGGAAGATCATTCACATAACTCAGGGACAGTGTGGTGATGCGCGTGTTATTGCCTCATTTTTATTACTTGTTTGGAGCCACAGGAAGAGGGCGGTACTCGTCATGCCCCGTCTTCCTCCTATACAATACTGATCATGCTGTCAGCGAGTTGGACACACTCAACGCCTCTTGCGGGGTATACCATCCACACAACTCCTCTTGCTGGGTATACCATCCACACAACGCCTCTTGCGGGGTATACCATCCACACAACACCTCTTGCGGGGTATACCATCCACACAACTCCTCTTGCGGGGTATACCATCCACACAACGCCTCTTGCGGGGTATACCATCCACACAACTCCTCTTGCTGGGTATACCATCCACACAACACCTCTTGCTGGGTATACCATCCACACAACGCCTCGTGCGGGGTATACCATCCACACAACTCCTCTTGCGGGGTATACCATCCACACAACTCCTCTTGCTGGGCATACCATCCACACAACGCCTCTTGCTGGGTATACCATCCACACAACGCCTCTTGCTGGGTATACCATCCACACAACACCTCATGCTGGGTATATCATCCACACAACGCCTCTTGCGGGGTATACCATCCACACAACGCCTCTTGCGGGGTATACCATCCACACAACTCCTCTTGCTGGGTATACCATCCACACAACACCTCTTGCTGGGTATACCATCCACACAACGCCTCGTGCGGGGTATACCATCCATACAACGCCTCTTGCGGGGTATACCATCCACACAACGCCTCTTGCGGGGTATACCATCCACACAACACCTCATGCTGGGTATACCATCCACACAACACCTCATGCTGGGTATACCATCCACACAACTCCTCTTGCGGGGTATACCATCCACACAACACCTCATGCTGGGTATACCATCCACACAACACCTCATGCTGGGTATACCATCCACACAACTCCTCTTGCGGGGTATACCATCCACACAACACCTCATGCTGGGTATACCATCCACACAACGCCTCTTGCGGGGTATACCATCCACACAACGCCTCTTGCGGGGTATACCATCCACACAACGCCTCTTGTGGGGTATACCATCCACACAACGCCTCTTGCGGGGTATACCATCCATATAACGCCTCTTGCGGGGTATACCATCCACACAACGCCTCTTGCGGGGTATACCATCCACACAACGCCTCTTGCGGGGTATACCATCCACACCTCTCTGTGATGGGACATGTTCTTCCTCGTATCCTTTGCTACCCTCCTCTTCTGGGGTTTACAACTGTAAACTCTTGTTCTCTCTCGGGTGTCAAAAACGCCTCCATTCACCTAGTGCCTCTCCTCACCTAGCAGGTCATAGGTATCCGGCAGTTAGGCAACTCTCGCGGGGTTGCATCCTGGGGATGGTTCAGTAGTTCGACCTGGGGAAAGAAAGGGAGGAGACCTCGATACTAGCCTGAAGTATATATATATACATACAGGCTTCCTGTCCCTGACAATGGGGATTATATCCCATCATTTTCTCCTGTGTTCCAATCTTGGCATATCAGAGCCTTGATTCGTTCTTAGTAATTATTTTGTACTCATTTGAGTACAGGAACAGACGAGTTCCGTCTCTGTTAGCGGGCTCAGATCTTTCCCTTCCCCATAGCGTCTTACCCACACGCTTTCCCTTCCCCATAGCGTCTTACCCACATGCTTTCCCTTTCCCATAGCGTCTTACACACACGCTTTCCCTTCCCCATAGCGTCTTACCCACATGCTTTCCCTTACCCATAGCGTCTTACCCACACGCTTTCTCTTTACCACAACCCACCAGTCAGATTAAGGCCAGGTACCCAGTTACGCTGAGTGAACAGAGGTGGACAGTTAAGGATTGAGGCGCAGACAGTCCTCCTTGGCCAGGACTCGAAACCAGACAAGTCGCTGGCAAGGCGCAGGGCGAGTGTGTTACCGCTGCGCCATCATTCCTTTAGTCATTTCGTCACTTGATTTTTTTTTTACTTTTATATTTTTAATGTCTGAGGTGTGACCTCCACGTTACAGCTCCTTTCTATCTTAGAAATCTGACATTAATTTGAGTTACAGGAATTACATAAATCTCTCTATATTCATTTATATGGATTTCTAGGTAACCATAATTAATTTATATGCATAATAATTACGCTTCTAATTACCTTTCAGGTCATTATTTTCTTGATTTCCTTAGAATTTTGAGTCCAAAATTATCATGAATCTTATTCCCACTCGTCACCACTACGTGGTGACGAACATTAACTGCATCATTCATATGTTGCTACATTCACTTTGTGCTAAATTAACTGAAGGGTCTCGCAGTCATTCTGATGACTTCGGTCAAAGGCTGGTCATGGTATTTCAACATAACCAAGTAACTATTTGTGACCAATTACTGACATATGATGACTATACTGGGAGCAGTAGTGATGGTCGTGGGTGGTGACCGCTCTTCATGTATGGTGAACACTCTCCTCACATCACTACTCTCACCCTTCCCACCCCCACCACCTGTGGTTAATGAGTAGTGTTCCTCTCTGGCGCCTGTATTGGTTCACTCCTCTCTGGCGCCTGTATTGGTTCTCTCCTCTCTGGCGCCTGTATTGGTTCTCTCATCTCTGGCGCCTGCATTGGTTCTCTCCTCTCTGGCGCCTGTATTGGTTCACTCCTCTCTGGCGCCTGTATTGGTTCACTCTTCTCTGGCGCCTGTATTGGTTCACTCCTCTCTGGCGCCTGTATTGGTTCACTCTTCTCTGGCGCCTGTATTGGTTCACTCTTCTCTGGCGCCTGTATTGGTTCACTCTTCTCTGGCGCCTGTATTGGTTCACTCCTCTCTGGCGCCTGTATTGGTTCACTCCTCTCTGGCGCCTGTATTGGTTCACTCTTCTCTGGCGCCTGTATTGGTTCACTCCTCTCTGGCGCCTGTATTGGTTCACTCCTCTCTGGCGCCTGTATTGGTTCACTCCTCTCTGGCGCCTGTATTGGTTCACTCTTCTCTGGCGCCTGTATTGGTTCACTCCTCTCTGGCGCCTGTATTGGTTCACTCCTCTCTGGCGCCTGTATTGGTTCACTCTTCTCTGGCGCCTGTATTGGTTCACTCTTCTCTGGCGCCTGTATTGGTTCACTCCTCTCTGGCGCCTGTATTGGTTCACTCCTCTCTGGCGCCTGTATTGGTTCACTCTTCTCTGGCGCCTGTATTGGTTCACTCCTCTCTGACGCCTGTATTGGTTCACTCCTCTCTTGTTTTACGTTGTGTAAATTATTTTAATAAGTGTAATACATTCTACAGTTATTTATATCTTTTCCTTCACCTCGAACGAAGATGATCTTTGGAGAATTTCCCTTCCAATTAAACCAAGATGCTAGAACACTAGTCAGAGGGATAGAAGCCCTAAACAAGAAAATAATAAATACAGAATATGCAGTCATAATCAAATGAAACATGTATAAATGAAATGGTGTTGAATATGACCGAAATGGTGAGATTAATAATTCTAACACGAATCTTCTCAATATTTCTTACGAAGAAAATTTTCCTTATGAAGAAAAACGAAAGAAATATTGAAAAGATTCGAGTTAGAATTATTAATCTTACCCTTTCGGTCATATTCAACAATAAATGTTTACTAGAAAGACTGCTACCAAAATATACTTATATATATAATATATATATACGTAGGCTTCTTGTCTTCGTCAAAACGAGTGATTATTATAATATATAATTTTCGTAGTCAGTGACAGGAATCCCGTATATAGGCCTATCGAGGTTCCCCCTAGGCCAACCACTGATTTTCTGCAGAATACAGACCACAACAACTGCCTGAATCCTGAGTACTATTGTGCTGCTAGGGGGAACAGAGGCATCAGGTGAAGTGAACCGTGCTCGACTGGTTATTTCCCGCCCATCGATTGAACCCTGGTCCCTCGAGTGTGAGCCGAAGACGTAGACCACTGTGCTAAAGGATGATTATCAACTAGTTTTTCCAGCTCGGTGATGGTTTGTTGACAGTATTCCAGACACGGTGGCTGAGAGCCTCCGAACCTGCCTTCACAATCAAGTACTAGCCTAGTTGTGCTTGCGGGGGGGGGGGGGAGTTTGAGCTTCGGCTCTTTGATCCCGCTTCTCAACTGTCAATCAACTGGCATACTTGAGTCTATTAGGCTCTATCATATCTACATTTGAAACTGTGTATGAAGTCAGCCTCCACCACATCGATGCTTAATGCATTCCATCTGTTAACTACTCTGACACTGAAAACGTTCTTTCTAACGTCCCTGTGGCTCATTTGGGTACTCAGTTTCCACCTGTGTCCCCTTCTTCGTGTACCATCCGTACTAAATAGTTTACCTTTATCTACCCTGTCAACTCCTTTGAGAATTTTAAAGGTGATGATCATGTCTCCCCCTAACTCTTCTGTCTTCCAGTGTCGTGAGGTTTAGTCCCAGAACTCTTTCCTCGTAGCTCATACCCTTCAGCTCGGGGGACTAGCTTGGTGGCATACCTCTGAATCTTTTCCTAGCTTAGTTTTGTGTTTGACTAGATGTGGACTCCAGGCTAGGGTCGCATATTCATGATTCCTTAAACAGGTTTCTGATGTGCAATATCTCGTGTGATTCTCTTTGGTTTGGTCAATATATACTAACAGCCTCATCACTTCCTTTCCTGTGATTTCCGTGAATCTCAGTTGGTGTGGTGGAGCTGTGTATGGTGTACAGAAGTCCTCTTACACTCTAGCCTCACATTAACCTCTACATGTACACTCTGGCCTCACATTAACCTCTACATGTACACTCTGGCCTCACATTAACCTCTACATGTACACTCTGGCCTCACATTAACCTCTACATGTACACTCTAGCATCACATTAACCTCTACATGTACACTCTGGCCTCACATCTTTAATGCCTCGCATATTTCTTCCTCCCTTTATAAAGATTTTGTTCAAACTTATTATTTTACCTGGTGAACTACATTCAGGATCCGAGCCAATATTTATTACATTTATGTTCCAGTTCAGTGTTTGTTCATCTTATTTAATATGCTCTTTTCTCTTGGTTTAAACTTCTGGTAGCATTATAATATACGACATTTCATATATTGATTTAATGCACTTAATTTATTAACTAGTTTTTTTTATATATTGTTAAATCAATCTTTTTATCTTTTTCTTATTTTTATGTTTGAGATGAACTTTTGTTTACGCCTGAAATGAATGTTATAAGATGTATGAAACTCTGTTTTTACAGCGTTTGCCAGGCATTGTATATTACATTTTTTTTTAATTCATATACTGATGCATATATCCCTCTCTCATAGTATGTATACTTGGTCATCTTCCTTTTGTATTTACTATGGCGAGTGATGGACTGTGTGTGTTAGTATGAGTGATGGTGATGATATGACCCCCCGCACTGCACTATACGTTCCCATTCACCATCACCCACCAGAGCACCACCTGGCAGGGTCACAATAGTCACCATCGCCCACCAGAGCACCACCTGACAGTGTCACAATAGTCACCATCACCCACCAGAGCACCACCTGACAGGGTCACAGTAGTCACCATCACCCACCAGAGCACCACCTGGCAGTGTCACAATAGTCACCATCGCCCACCAGAGCACCACCTGACAGCGTCACAATAGTCACCATCACCCACCAGAGCACCACCTGGCAGGGTCACAATAGTCACCATCACCAACCAGAGCACCACCTGGCAGGGTCACAATAGTCACCATCACCCACCAGAGCACCACCTGGCAGTGTCACAATAGTCACCATCACCCACCAGAGCACCACCTGACAGGGTCACAGTAGTCACCATCACCCACCAGAGCACCACCTGGCAGTGTCACAATAGTCACCATCGCCCACCAGAGCACCACCTGACAGCGTCACAATAGTCACCATCACCCACCAGAGCACCACCTGGCAGGGTCACAATAGTCACCATCACCAACCAGAGCACCACCTGGCAGGGTCACAATAGTCACCATCACCCACCTGAGCACCACCTGACAGGGTCACAATAGTCACCATCGCCCACCAGAGCACCACCTGACAGCGTCACAATAGTCACCATCACCCACCTGAGCACCACCTGACAGTGTCACAATAGTCACCATCACCCACCAGAGCACCACCTGACAGTGTCACAATAGTCACCATCACCCACCAGAGCACCACCTGGCAGGGTCACAATAGTCACCATCACCCACCAGAGCACCACCTGGCAGGGTCACAATAGTCACCATCACCCACCAGAGCACCACCTGGCAGGGTCACAATAGTCACCATCACCAACCAGAGCACCACCTGACAGGGTCACAATAGTCACCATCACCCACCAGAGCACCACCTGACAGTGTCACAATAGTCACCATCGAGTCTTGAATATATTTTAGTTATAATAATTGTCACAGCCTAAGGAAGAAGTGTACCGTGGAAATTGGCCGCCAGCGAAGTAGTTGATTAAAGAAGCATGACACAGAAATCACAATTGCGTGATGCATCAAATGAACAAATCTATTCAATTTGTTGATTAAAGAAGCACTTCAAGTTTGTCTTGAAGCAGAGAGTGTGTTGAACACTGCAGTCGTAGAGCCAGTATAGTGAGGCACATGAAGCACGCCAGGCACCAACTGAGGCCTCTTAACTCTAGCGCCCGCAGTGTTAGAGTGCAAGGCGTGAGAGTGAGAGTCTTCGCTCTGATTGGTTGCCTCATATGAGTACAAGTAATAAATGAAAGCCAGGCAACCAATCAGCGATCTTTATTACACTAGCGAGCTACCACATCCTGTGGCCTCGGTGGCGCGTCTCTGTTACCGTTATAACATTTCGCTTACCTTTACTAAGAAACAAGTTTATGTCTGCATACAAGAGTGATGTGAGGTATATAATGGAATGGGATAACCCCTAACGGGGTCGAAATGAATCTTCTTTCTAGGCAGTCATATGCTAGAAAAGTCGTGTGATATTTCAGTTCTTTGTTGACACCGCGGTGTGCGTGTCCAACCTGCGGGGAGGGACGGAGACCGGCCGCCGCCGCCGCTGGGCCGCTGTATACCTCCCATCCCATTTGTAATCCTGTGAACAAGAAACACACCAAGTATGATCTCATATGTTCGTCTTAAATGTAACTATTAGGTTTTAGCTTATCTTGTATTGCAAGTATGATCTAATTTGTAACCCTGGTACAGTGTTTTGGTGAGTCCCCTGCGCGCGCCATGGCTGGCGTCGACTTGCGCGCACCACGCTTGGCGTCGACCTGCGCGTGATATGCGCGCCGCTGTGGCTGGCGTCGGCCTGCGCGCCGCTATGGCTGGCGTCGACCCCGGGGTCTACTACATTCATGCTGACCTTCTCACACGTGTCCACATGACCTTTAGTATACACCAACGTGCTTTATTACAGCCAGGGGTGGTAAAGGCCACCTCTTCCTATGACTGGCGGCATTGACCCCCCTCCCTCCCTCCCTCCCAGTTTCTCTCATGCCACCCCCAGGTCCGGCAGTAGTGTGTATCCCCCCCCCCACCCTTAGGTATTGCATGCCTCAGCAGGATGCAGTATCTCTATCCCCCTAACCCAGGGCAAGTCGTGCCGCCCCAGGATAGGTGAGTGTTAACCATGCTCTGGCGAAAATATAGTTTAATGCACTTTTATCCTAAATGTTTTAGTATTAACTCCAAGAGATTTGTGACTCCAGCGAACACTAAAGAGGCTCCTCGCTGTATCCCACTGTATCACTATATCACCATACTCCAACACTATCAATACTTTTATTTATAAATGAATATACCGAGTCGAATAATAATTAGTATGTGATGGGGGAATGGGAAAGAAATCGATAAGAGGAGAGATAGTGGAGTAGAGGTAAACAGCATAGAGAAAGAAGTTAGAGATAAGTAGAAAAGAGTAAGGAGTAAAGAAGAGGTGAAAGTGGGAGAAAAGACATCTAGAGATGGCCAGAAGTGGAAGAGAAAAATGCTAAGAACAACGACTGAAATTTAGAAAATTGCTCCCCCCCCCCCATTCATTTGATATCAATTTATAAACAAAAATGGAATTGTCTTTCACCTTTATTATCTCTATGTAAGGATAAAATGTAACACCTTCGGTCATTAAAATCAGTAAGTAAAACTGAGCGAGGTCCCCCCACGCTGCCTAACACCACACATGACCCGAGGGTAAATGAAAGACGTAGGATAGTTGCATATGAAGACAATCTTTCAAAAATTAATAGTAGACATTTATTTCATTAATTATTCTACATGCATCAATAACAAAGACGAACATGAGCTAAAGTGACTGAGAGAAAATTGAAAAAAAAAAATCATGTATTCACGACATTTAACTAGGAACGACAGTACTATACATCACTTTACAAACATAACTCACCAAGGTCTAAGATAAGGGGTCGACTGAGGGGGAGGGCAGGGTTATACCTAGGCCACACGGGGCCTGCTACCTGGATCTGGGGGGCTCAGTGTTGACCCTTATATGTATCTGTCTATCTTTATCTCTCTATTTTCGATTTCATTGATGAAAATTAAGCCACCCAAGAGGTGGCACCATTCTAGCCACACCCAAGAGGATAGCCTGAGGCTACCTGGTTCCAAGACGATGGACAGACATACGGCTGCTCATTGCTGGAAGGGAACAAGCAAGCCGGCGCAGGCGACCCGCCGCAGTTATCCAGTTAGGGAGTTTCATGGTATCTTTCTTGGTCACCAGACCTGACCTCTTGCACCAAGGTGCCATTTAGCACACTGAAGGTGGGAATTTGCATTGTGTAGCGACAGAATCTCTGGCGCCGCAGTCCTGCCTTGTCATGCTAGACTCGAGAGAGACTATGTTCATTTATAAATAAAATAATTTATGGTGTTACAATAGGAAGAGTAAAGCGTGTGGGAGTGTGTTTGACGAGGCCTGAGCCCCGCCACGAGCACAGCTCTCCATACTTGGGTCTACACTCTCCACACTTTGGTCTGCACTGTCCACACTTTGGTCTACACTGTCCACACTTGGGTCTACACTGTCCACACTTGGGTCTACACTGTCCACACTTGGGTCTACACTGTCCACACTTGGGTCTGCACTGTCCACACTTGGGTCTGCACTATACTTAACTCAAGACACTCTTACCACTGGCACCCAACATGGCACCATGTAGGCCACATAACACCTAATACAATGAATGATAACTATTCCTAACACAATGAATTCTACCTTTATGGCCGCGCGCGCACACTCCTCCCACGCGCGCTACATTCACTATTTACTTCAATTTACCTGAGGGCCACTGACACTAGTGGCCTTGACGAGGACA